TTCTCCAGGAGAAATCTATTAGTCTTCTGACAAACATACCATAAACTCAGACTTAATAAAGAAAGATTTTTTTTTAATTACTAGAATTATTCTCCAAATATTCCTGATTTGGTTAAGATCATAACTGCTTTTTCTAAACAATATAAAGCTCAAATTGAATACTAGGTTTCAAAAGACACATCATTAGATACCTTGTTAATGAGGCCAAGGCACCATCATATTAAACTTACCAAAGATAGAAAGGCCATGTTTATTACCCAATAAATCCTGAAGAAGACACATAAAATCCACCTGTCTTCTGCAGCTCAGGATGCACACAGAAAGATATAACAAGAACAAACAGAAAGATATACCAAGAACAAACCGTTCTTTTTGCCTACAGCTTGCTTCACAGAGTAATGCAGAAGTACAAACTATTTACAGAGCAAATTGATTTAGTCAGAATAAGCTCCTGAATAAAAATTTATGTCATGGAAATGAAAGGACTTAGGGGGATTATAAATCACTAAAACAGGCGAGCGATACGGGGAATTTACTCTTAGGGATGAAGTTGCCTCAATGAATCGTAATGGTGGTTTTCCAGTGTGTACTCAAAATTGACAGTAGCAATAGTAAATCATTTAAAAACAGTATGAAAAACCTACTCCCCCAAAAAACAACCCAAGACATAATTATCAACAGCAGTTCAAAGCACAGAGTTTCTGGAAGGGGAAACATGCACATTTTGCTTACCAAACTCAATCTGTTTTGCATCTATACAATTTTTCCCTGAGTTTCTTTTTTCTATTTGATGTAGTCAAGTATCTTTAGATTGACTTTGCAAAGCGCTCAGGAGACTTTCCTCGTGTTTGGAGACTACAAAATTGTCATTTCATGAAGCACTTGTTAAGAGCCACACAGCAACGCTGTCATTCTTGAGAAAAGAGTTAATGGATAACCTGATAAATGCAGAAACACTGCATTTGTTTACTAGGTATTTAAAAGTTAGGTACATCAGGAATTTTCTACCAGCAAAACCAGTCAACCTATCACTTCATTTCACAAAATGAAATAAGCTAAAGCTACATGACATAAATCGTACCTTCGAGTTTAAGAAAAAATAATCCTGAATGCATTTAGCATTTTGAGGAAAAGAGTATCTGTTAAGAGACAAAGTTCCTCATTACTCAGATCTGGTTATTATAAGTAATTAGTGTTTTCCACAGTGATTCTGGTCTCATACCCAAATAAGAAATCTCAATAAACAGTACTATGTAGGACAATCAGCACAAAAGAAAAAATATACCTACCTGTGCTTTGAATGCGATCTTTTCCTTCTAGATCGGGATTTTGAACTAGACCTGGATTCTGAACGAGAATGGGAACGAGATCGACCGCCTTTTCTTTCACTGCTCTTTCCAGACTCTGAGAGGAAAAAACCACTTTGCAGTGTAAGCTCAGAACATTTAAAGATCCCAGTTAACAATCTGGCACAAGTGGAATGTACCACATATAGTGCAAGGGGCCTACTCTCTGCACATCTTCCTTCTTTGCAAATATCCTTCAGAAACATCCAAGAAAGTCATTGCATATACTCGTTGAGTGCAGCCATCCTGCAGCAGTACACATAAACCAGATAATTATAAACAGCTAGCTCTATTAGGAATGGGATTTATGTTCCTGCCACAATGAACAAGATTACAACATGTTCTCCTCTTTGTATATTATTTAATATAAATACTTTTTATTTTTAATACACTGAGAAGAATAAATTTAGAGGGTGTAATTCTGAAAGTGTGGATAAAATGTAAACAATACTTAGAAAGTTGTTCTTTTAAATATCCCAACCACTGTACAAATACTAATGTTTCACTCCTCAAACATTACTTTGGGGGAGGAAGGGGTGGAGAGAAGGGGATGAAAAGTTTGATCCAAAGGCCATGAAGTCAATGGAAAGCTTACCAGTGACCCCGGCAGACTTTGGTTCAGACGCCAGAAGACTGTTATTCTGCTGCTTAAGATTGAGGAAACTTTAGAGCTATTTTTCTTCCAACTCTAAAAAGAGAACTATCTAACTTACATAAGTTAAGTCCAGGTTTGTTAATAAGAACAATAAAACCTGACTGAAAGAAAAATCATGATCTCTATTCCAAGTTTAACAAGTTAAGAATTTTTAGGCGGTAGTTTTGCAGTCAGTTTAAGTCAGTATAAGTCAGCACTAATGTGGCAATGTAATCGCTAAACCCGCCAACACCTTCCTCCTTGACCTGACATCTCAATGATTACAGGGATCAGGAAACCAATCTGAGTGAAAAAAGTCCATTAATATATGTGATGTTTTAACTCAGATTCATTCTCTAATCCCCTTTGCTAAATGGATGCACAGTCTTGAGCCAGCATGAAAAAGAGTGTAGCAAAGAGACAAAATTAACCTGGTGAAGATAAGAAAAGCATAACATTGCTGCTTTTAGCATCGTGCTAGCTCCCTCTGACCATAAAGCTAGAGGAGAATGAAACAAAACCTAAAAACACTTTCTTTTCAATGTTTGTAAAGTACTTTGAACTTAAAAAGCACCAATATTAAGTATTATTTGGTTTAGTGTTGACTTATTTTGAACACATTCAATGAGCAAATATTTCAAAACAAAACACAATGAAATAAAGCAGTAGAATACAGTTTGTTTCATGAAGATAATTTTTACTATTAGCACTTTTTTTTTTTTTTTTTTTTTTTACCAAACTCATTGTATACCTTTGAGTACCCTCATCCTGTGTTTGAAACTGCTCTTAAAATTGTGTGCCAAGATACACAGAACATTTCTGCTGAGCAGAGAACATAATATACCTACCTGGCTCAATAGCAGCAGATATGAAAGACTGGGCTTCCCTTACTCTCTTCATCACTTCCTCCAGTTCCTTGGCAGCAGCTTGTGGTGTCATTTCAGGAGGCTTCACTATGGCATTATTGGAGTGATTTATTCTAAATTAATTAACAACAACAATAAAAAGAAATAAAACAGAAAACAAACAGAAAAGCTTTAATCCACAAATACTGGAGCGAAAATGAAAGACAAAGAAGAAAACAAACATCTTAACTCACACTTATGATTCAGAACTTCTTTCTAAGACTCAACTGTTCTGGCTAAATATTAAAATATAAATGTCTGGCTTTTACTGTCTTTCAATTTTACCATTTTTAAGTACATGCTGAAAACCGTTCCTATGTAATTTAACACAAATACAGGTTTAAAAATTTTCCAGTAGGAATCTAGAAATCTCTTTCTGCATTACAGATCAAACCTACACATTAAGAGCTACTAATCACATACCCATCCTATTTAAACCTTAATTAGCTGAAGGACTTTGCAGACTCTCTCACTGGTATCTACTGTCACCATCCCATGATTAAATAGAGATATATGTTACACTATACCATATTCACAGAGAAGGTTATTTTCAATCTTGAAATTTCAGTTTACAGGTTATGTAGTTTGCTAATCAGAACTCTTTATACTTAAAATTAAGTCCACAATGGTTTCCTGCAGATCAGTGTCATAAATTGTAAGGATACTAAGAAATACCACATGCAGTATTTATATGGATAATTAATTTCTTACTTCAATGGCCTGTCTCCAAACATAACTCCATTAAAGGCAAGGGCCCGAGGAACAGAATTCTGGTCTGCAAATTCCACAAAAGCAAATCGTGTTGGCTGGGTCTCATCACCTGCCATTCGCACGAATTTGACTTCTCCAACTTGCTTAAAGAATTCAAGCAGCTGATCTGCTGTTGTAGTCTAAAACAAAGTCAAAAAGATCAGCTGAAGTATGATATGTGTTATCCAACATATCAGGTAATTTAAGAGCTACAGATTTTGAAAGACAATTGCACCATTGTTACACAGGCAACATGAATTTGGTAACACCCTTTAACACAGACAGATACTATTTTTTATTCCAGAAACCTGAAGAATATACTGTGATTTAAAATAGCGCAACCACATGTCATAAAGTCCTATACTTAGTTTATAAACACATTTGCACAGGATTTTGTACTTTCCACATGACTCCCTGGAAATAACTGATAAGGAATTTCCTTGTGTACCTGTATCAAAGCTATTTCTGCTATTGATTGTGTTTTTGTTCGGTACAATAATATACTGAAACATTATTACAAAGCTTTGTTTTTCTCAGTGCTTCTACTAGTTTCCAATTAGTTTTATTTTACTGGGATCCATAGCACTCTTAATACTCTAGCAGCTTCTTCCACAGTCAAATAAACTCACAAAATCAAATATTGATATTGCTATCAGTCAACAGCAAAGAGTTTTTCAATCAACCCTTAAACAATAATGGCTGCCATAGTAAAGCTTTCCTTTCATAGAACTACATGGCTGCTTATGCTGGTTTTGATACTTTAACTACAAGAAATTGCTCTCCTCCAGTAACAGTCAATTCCTTACGCTTCACGAGATGAATTCCTTCTCACTGTATTTAAACAATAGTACAGAGGTGTGGGGGATAGCTACCATGACCGTGTGGCTTCTGAGATATTGTTCAGGTAACATTTCCTAGTTGTATGTTTGACCATCCCACACAATCATAAACTTGTTTCTTCAATTTCCAGCTCCCTACTAGAATTAATTCCACGGTCCTGTTTGAGCTGGCTGGTGCAACAGCATTCAGAATACAAAATAACACCAGTAGGTTTCTGTTTCAGTTCCTACTGTCATCAACTACAGAAAACAATCTTAACGTGTAAGATTACAACTCAATTTATAGTTCTTCATATTAGGTTCTACATTAATATCTCCAGTAGGGGAGAGAAAAAAAAAAAAAAAAAAGGCAAGCTACCTGTGAATTCAAGTTTCCAACATAGACTGTTCTCCTGATTTCATCAATTTTGGATGGGTCCACATTCCCCATAATTGGTGGCTGTGGTATTTCTCCCAGTGCCGTAATGTTAGGGTCCAATGCTGCTGCTGGTATAGCCCCCAAAGTGCCAAGTGAAACACCAAGCTAGAAAACACAAAAACAGTATTTTTTTTCAAATGGGCATTGGTGGGAGATACTTCACTTGGTAATACTTGCCTGCCATGTGTATTTCTGTAGAATCAATCTAACGAGCCCAGCCAATTACTTCAACAGTTAAGGCCCAGTTACGAATTGTTACAAAAGAAATCCATCCATAACTAACTTTCTAAACTAAGATTTTATTTCTACATGCTATCAGCTACCACCTTATACAAGAGGTTTGGCCAGAAATGCAGAATATCAATTGAATAATCTGCATTCTGATTTCCAGTGCTAGCAGTCATCAGCTTGAGTTAGATTCTTTCAAGTACTGCTAATATACTTATTTTTGCCATTAGAAGACTTATGAGTGAAGGAAGAACACTGAGAACTGACATAATTTTGGTTACAAACAATCTTGCCTTTGGACTGGTAAGAACAAGGAAGAAGCATGAAGAAAAAACACTATTAAAAATGCTATGGTCACTGGATATAGCCCATCACAAACATGCACACAAATGTAACCCAGCATATGAACATCTCCGCCTGGCCGACGATCAACAGAATCTTAAATCTTCCTTTAACTTAGAAGTAAAATCCACTACAATGTTTTTGCAAGTACCACTGAACCAGAAAAGTCTCGTAGCAGATACGTAGGCTTCAAATCAAATTCTTTCATCAGCAAAAGTCCCAGCTACACATCTTTCCCCAAATACATAAGACCAAGCAGAGGATGACCATCATTAAGCATCATCATGGCAGCGTATCCAATCTCCTGATACAGGTCTCAGAGTAAACCTTCCTAACAAAGGTATTTTAGGAGGAGACAGTATGGGAAGCCTTATTCAAATACACTATTTTATTGCTACGTCTGACATAAGTATCTGATGTTTCTAGTTCATTTTGTGGTTTTGGTCATTTAGAGCACCAGCATTTAAAATAATTAATTTGTCCTCACTATTGACAGATCAGTAATGAAACAATTTTAAACCTATACAATAGGTATAAATTGCTCACCACAGACCAGCTTCCACTCATAAGCATAGCAAATTACTGCTTCTACTGAAAAGGAGTAAATCTAGAGGAAAAGGAAATAGGGGCGTGATGACAGGGCTAATTAATACTGTGTTGGATAGAAAGAGGCAATTTCAGGCATTTCCTCTGCCTTCCATCTGCTTGTGTTGATTAACCTACCCAGAGTCCATCTGTCCAAGATGCCAATAGCTAGTACCTAGTGATGCAGCAGCAGACCAAGTTGTTCTTATTCAACCAAAAAGATGACATTTCATAAAGAAAGCTGAAGTTTGAATCCATGGAATGAACTATTGAGATTTTGTTTGTAAAACTTTCATCCGTAGAACATGAAAAAGTATTAGCATGATGCTGAATATATGCATATAACTAACTGCAGGCAGAGGAAGGGGAGAAAGGGGTGTTTCTAACTGTTCTTGCCTTCCTAACATCTGAACAGATAGCTAGAAAGCAAAGAGTTGTTACAAAAGAAGTGCCATGTGCTAAAGCAGGTAGAAAGCTTACTGAAGGAGGGCAGGCAGTGTTCATATGGGGCAGACCTTCTGTCTAATGAGCTGTATTTTCCTGTATTTTCTATTAGTGCATAAATGGATATTTTCAAGACCATTAAGATAGCTGGTATCTTTCCTTGGTGTTTCTTTCATATTTCTGCTTCGCAAAACAGCAGGTAAATACTGCTCCTGGTTATGTCCATTTTAATTGTTCCTTCCTAGATCACTGTGATCTATCCTTGCAAGAGAGGCCACAGCAGAGAGTTGCAACAACCTCAGTGATTTAGCACGTAAGAACACCCATGGATTAGGTAGTTCATGCTCTCTGAACACAGAAGAGGCTACTCAGTAGAGAGGAAGGCAGAAAGCAAAGAGTGACTGAATTTTACTTACTGTAGTCAGAGGAGT